ATGAAATTATTTAAATCCATGAAGTCTGTGTTGTAATGTACTTTGATGTATTGGTGTGTTGGACACATAGACACAAACCAGGTGTGATGTGCAGGTTTCAGTAGTAGGTATATGTAACATATGCAGGGAAGGATGGTCGTTCACATTCCTCCTCCTTTTACTCCTTCCTGTCTTCTTTCCTTGCTTCTTTCTATTCCTTCCATCCAATTCTTTCTTCTTCTTTAGCTGTCTCTCCCCTTCATGTTCACCTTTTCCACTTTGCCTCTTTTCTTTCCTTCATGTCTAAGCTTTGCTCTGAGCCTTGTTTAACCCAGTAACTGGAGAGCAAGCTCTGGGCCTTGTTTAACCCAGTAACTGGAGAGCAAGCTCTGGGCCTTGTTTAACCCAGTAACTGGAGAGCAAGCTCCGAGCCTTGTGTTATCCCAGTAACTAGAGAGCAAGCTCTGAGCCTTGTTTAACCCAGTAACTGGACAGCAAGCTCTGGGCCTTGTTTAACCCAGTAACTGGAGAGCAAGCTCTGGGCCTTGTTTAACCCAGTAACTGGAGAGCAAGCTCCGAGTCTTGTGTTATCCCAGTAACTGGAGAGCAAGCTCTGAGCCTTGTATTACCTAGTAACTGGAGAGCAAGCTCTGAGTAACCCAGTAACTGGAGAGCAAGCTCTGAGTAACCCAGTGATTGGAGAGCAAGTTCTGAATAACCCAGTAACTGGAGAGCAAGGTCTCAACCTAGCTTGTATTACCCAGTAACTGGAGAGCAAGGTCTGAGTAACCCAGTAAATGGAGAGCAAGGTCTCAACCTTGTTTAACCCAGTAACTGGAGAGCAAGTTCTGAGTAACCCAGTAACTGGAGAGCAAGCTCTGAACCTAGCTTGTATTACCCAGTAACTGGAGAGCAAGGTCAGAGTAACCTAGTAACTGGAGAGCAAGGTCTGAGTAACCCAGTAACTGGAGAGCAAGCTCTGAGTAACTCAGTAACTGAAGAGCAAGCTCTGAACCTAGCTTGTATAACCCATTAACTGGAGAGCAAGGTCTGAATAACCCAGTAACTGGAGAGCAAGCTCTGAACCTATCTTGTATTACCCATTAACTGGAGAGCAAGGTCTGAGTAACCCAGTAACTGGAGAGCAAGGTCTCAACCTAGCTTGTGTTACCCAGTAACTGGAGAGCAAGTTTTCAACCTTGTTTAACTAGTAAATGGAGATCAAGCTCTGAGCCATCTTTAACCCAGTAACTGGAGAGCAAGTTCTGAATAACCCAGTTACTGGAGAACAAGCTCTGAACCTAGCTTGTATTACCAAGTAACTGGAGAGCAAGGTCTGAGTAACCCAATAACTGGAGAGCAAGCTCTGTCCCTAGCTTGTATTACCCATTAACTGGAGAGCAAGGTCTGAGTAACCCAGTAACTGGAGAGCAAGGTCTCAACCTAGCTTGTATTACCCAGTAACTGGAGAGCAAGTTTTCAACCTTGTTAAACCTAGTAAATGGAGATCAAGCTCTGAGCCATCTTTAACCCAGTAACTGGAGAGCAAGCTCTGAGTAACCCAGTAACTGAAGAACAAGCTCTGAACCTAGCTTGTATTACCCAGTAACTGGAGAGCAAGTTCTGAGTAGCCCAGTAACTTGAGAGCAAGTTCTGAGTAACCCAGTAACTGGAGAACAAGCTCTGAACCTAGCTTGTATTCCCCAGTAACGGGAGAGCAAGGTCTGAGTAACCCAGTAACTGGAGAGCAAGCTCTGAACCTCGCTTGTATTAACCAGTAACTTGAGAGCAAGGTCTGAGTAACCCAGTAACTGGAGAGCAAGCTCTGAACCTAGCTTGTATTACCCAGTAACTGGAGAACAAGGTCTGAGTAACCCAGTAACTGGAGAGCAAGGTCTGAGTAACCAAGTAACTGGAGAGCAAGCTCTGAGTAACCCAGTAACTGGAGAGCAAGCTCTGAGTAACCCAGTAACTGGAGAGCAAGTTCTGAACCTAGCTTGTATTACCCAGTAACTGGAGAGCAAGCTCTGAGTAACCCAGTAACTGGAGAGCAAGCTCTGAGTAACCCAGTTACTGGAGAACAAGCTCTGAACCTAGCTTGTATTACCCATTAACTGGAGAGCAAGTTCTGAGTAGCCCAGTTACTAGAGAGCAAGTTCTGAGTAACCCATTAACTGGAGAACAAGCTCTGTCCCTAGCTTGTATTACCCAGTAACTGGAGAGCAAGGTCTGAGTAACCCAGTAACTGGAGAACAAGCTCTGTCTCTAGCTTGTATTAACCAGTAACTGGAGAGCAAGGTCTGAGTAACCCAGTAACTGGAGAGCAAGCTCTGAGTAACCCAGTTACTGGAGAACAAGCTCTGAACCTAGCTTGTATTACCCATTAACTGGAGAGCAAGTTCTGAGTAGCCCAGTTACTAGAGAGCAAGTTCTGAGTAACCCATTAACTGGAGAACAAGCTCTGTCCCTAGCTTGTATTACCCAGTAACTGGAGAGCAAGGTCTGAGTAACCCAGTAACTGGAGAACAAGCTCTGTCTCTAGCTTGTATTAACCAGTAACTGGAGAGCAAGGTCTGAGTAACCCAGTAACTGGAGAGCAAGCTCTGAGTGACCCAGTAACTGGAGAGCAAGCTCTGAGTAACCCAGTAACTGGAGAGCAAGCTCGGGAATCTTTTACAACACTGTTAGAGAAAGCATGCTCTGAGCCTTGTGTGGGCCAGGGTTTGTAGAATAAAGACTTATTGTCAGGAAGAAATCAATTACTGACCTTGATGTGCCTTCAATATCTAACTGGTTTTGATTACCTAGTCCCTGTTGGAAATGGCTACCTCAGTAATAACAGGCTTATACCTCAGGGAAATATTGGGTAAATAATTTCCAGAGTGTGGAGATAGTGTTTTGATAGGTAGTGTGCGTGTGGGATGTGTGTTGTAGCTTTAGGTCAGAGTTAGAATGTATCTGTATAGAGCAAGGTAAACTGCGATACAAGGAGGTAATGGAATAGGCTGTCTAGGCTACTCACCATTAGTGGGATGTATTATGGAGGATTAATTCTATAAGGATAAGGAAAACGAGGGATAGATGTTTCTCCCCCGAAAGATTTTACTCTGAGCAAAAAAAATATCCATTAAAAATTAAAATAACTTTACTTTTAAAATGAATAACTGAACCATGCAAATAAAGCAGATACTAGAAAATTATTCAAACAAATTTTCATCTTTAAGTAGGATTGAATTAGAAATAATATTCTGAAAGACTTCATGTATTGAATTTTCTTTTCAGTATAACTGAACACTTTACAATGGAGTAATCTTAAAATATAATTAAAAACTGTTCCAAATTTGTTTAAAAAAACCCAGTAAAGTTTCCATAATAGATATATTTTGTAAGAATTTTGGATGGTCTGCAGTCATTCCGAGATAAATGAGGTTCGTGGTATGGCATTTATTTGGTTGAATACGATAGGAGTGAAGTAATGTTTCAAGTTCATGTAATATATACCAAAGTTAAACTCCTTAAAGTTTGGTTTAAAGGAGCTAAAGGTGAGCTGGAGAGACCCACCTCTGAGATTTTCACCAGGTGCTTTCTCATTTAATGGACATTACAACAAATGGGTTGAAATTGTTCAAAGCTTACCTGCACATTTTATTTGATAGGGAGGTGTACCGATGTCCAATGTATTACCCAACACCTGAGACAAAATTATCTCACCTTTGGCTGATACAAATAGACTAGGTAGCTTTTGAAGTGAATGTTTTTCAGTAGTTCATAGCCGGGAAGCAGGTACTTAAACCTCCCAGGTAACCCTGTAGGTAACCTAATCAAGCAAAGGTGGCGGGCTATCATGTACTTCCAAACACTTTTATACAGTAAATAAAACTTCGACATCAAAGGAACTGAACAGGAAATAGGTTTTCAGAAGGGCTTGGTTCAAGAAAAACTGGGCGCCGCCACCGTGTAAAATCCAGCCTGATTTTAAATCATTTTCACCTTTATTCGTAATTATTGATGAAAAACTTGCATATATTGATCATAGGATTAATTTGAAGTTCTTTGGGATCACTTGCTCCTAGGATTTTGAATTAAGAAAATAGAATTAAAAGTTTATGTTGGTTGTTCTGTCAACACCAAAGAAGAAATTCCAAAGAACTACAGTAAAAAAATTCCTTTCAAACTAAAATCTACACTTTGTTGTAAATATCCCACAAACAAGGAATTTATGTGATCTAGAGGAAATGTTACAGAAGAATTGATAGGTTAAAATAGTCATTATATCTTTCAAAGAAATTATTAAAAGATACTCGAAAAAAACTACTGAGCAGCTTGGTTTTTTTTTATGTTTGAAAAAAAGATTGTTTCAATCATAAAGAGAAAAGTTTTCAAGAAATACAAATTTGATTTAAGTGGTCTTACAGCTGTGAATTTTTCATGAATTTTTGAAAAAAAATCTGGTTTACCCCATGGGTACCTCTGAAGATGCACAAGTTTAGCATAAATGTAGGTTTGATAAAGGCGAACAGACAATGGTAGAACAGTCATATGTACAGGAAGTGGAGAGTTGGCAAACATAGCGAACCTCATCATAATCTTCATCAGTCCCACCAGCTGTAGGCACTGAGGGGAGGAGGGGGATAGGTTAGGGGGAACATCTCAGCCCCACCATCTGTAGCCACTGAGGGCAGGAGGAGGGGGGTGTAAGGAAGGGGGAACATCTGTAGCCACTGAGGGGAGGAGGGAGTGTGTAAGGAAAGGAGAATGTAGAGCAGGCGAAAAAAACAACTGTTATACTGTGGAGACCTGTAAGATCAAGGCGCACACGGCTAGATTTTTACAAGGAGATGTGTTTTTGTAGATTGTTCGGGAGATATTTTATCGGTGGAGAGATATTATGTGCAGGAGTATTATGATGAGATGACAGTGTTGTGTAATTAGACAGGAATTTGTGTGTGATTGACCTGAGGGCTTTAAAACCTTGGATGTTAAAATGTTGGATTTGTAGATACTCAGGGTATCCTGATCGTCTAGCACAGAGACTGCCTAGATATATTGCGCCGGAATTTGATGAACAGTTTTTTGTCTGGAATCAAATATTCTGGATATGATTGGATAGTTAAACTTAGTGTACGCGCATCACACATCGTACAGTAGTATTCCAAAGCTATGGAAGCCAGCGAGAATTCCTGTGGCATGTTTAATTAAGTTGATAGGTTAGGATTGAGAGGATAGCAAACTAGACCCACAGGTGTGTGCTTCAGTGAGGAAGGAGAGACCCCTCCACACACACATACACATTTATATATATGCCTTCCTCGATGAACAAAAGCAATTTTGTTCCGAAATCTGAAGTGTTCGTGATTAGAAGGAGATGAAATTATTCAACTGCCCATCGTCCCTGCGATAGACATTCTGGGTTGGATTTATTTTCGGAGGTTGTGTAAAATTGATACTCGTTTCTGGAAACTTTTGCAAAAGGTTTACATACTTTTAATAGGAATGATGAGATTTAGCCGAGCAGGGCCTACTTATCTGACAAGCGGCAAAGCCCCCAGGTACATCTCCAAACTTCGGTGTTCCATCGTTTCGGATGAGAGATGCATTCCTTCACCACAGACACTTCAGCGCCTAATCTATTTGTTTTAGAATATGGTTGAACAGCATTTCTAGAAATACGACTTGTGGAATTCACCAGCTGATGCTGTAGTTGCGGAGGTAGAAAATGTGTATTGAAACATATTTAGGACTCAAGCATCCGAACACAGATAGAGCTGGTATTTTTGGAACCCATTCAAACTCATTCTGCAACCTACATTTCTTTGAAATCCTGAAATCCAAGGGATGAAGTGTATCATATCTGCTCCGGTGGCTGCAAGTCCGGGTCTTAAACAAGCTTAGTAAACTGTTGAAACTAGTAGTACAGGAGACAGGGGTTTGTCGGGAAACTACCTCGTTGCTATTTTTTTTACCTGAATTATAAAAGTTTTCTATCAAGAATAACAACCAAGCACCGATCATTGTGTACATGGATTTAAAATGACGTTATTTGATTGTTTTCTCTAAACAATTTATCTGTTTAAGTGAAATAAAGATTTTCTCACCAAGTGAAGTTAGCTGAATTCTGAGAAAAAGTTTTGATACAGAAACAAAAGTTACATATGTAAATTGATATAGTTTTTCTTCGGAAAATTATCGTGTAATAAAAAATTTGAAATTGGATGAATAAGCTGTTGTCAAGGTTGGGAAGTGAAAAGTGAGAGCCATATTCTACATCACAGGTTCGGGAGAATATCCAGGACAATAAGTGGAGTATTGACATTTACGAACGAATTTACTGGCCGATTGTCCCAGCAAATGGGTCCACTCACGACGATTATGGAGCAGATTTTGTGAAATTTAAAAGAAAATTATTTGTGAAATTGACATTTGGAAATGGAAATTAAAAAGAGGGCACCCTGGGACATGTATACACAGCTGTGGTGGTGACGGAGTTGTGGGTTTGACACGCCACCGTAGTACAACTCCAGGATGACTAGCTCTAGTAGTAGGACTGTATGATTTTACACATACTGCTGGGTTTATTATGTAAAGTAAGTTTTTTCACCCATAACAATGGATTTTTCTATGAACAGTATTATAAAAATGTGTGGAGATATGTGTGCTATGGTGAAAAATTCATTGTGGAGATTTCGGTGTAAATACATGACGTTATGAGGTGTAAAAACAAAAATGATGAAAAACAAAGTGGATTTTTATACTGAAGTCTGCACAAATTAATTTTGTAATAATTCCTAGAGACAGGAATTTTATTTATTTATTTTGCCACTGGAAACGGTGAAATTTGGTTTGTCGTCACAATTAATGGAGAAAAAGAAAACATTGAGTGGGCCTAAAAAGGCTATTAAATCCATGCGAGAACTTTTTTCCGGGAGTAAGAGTTACGGTGGGTTTGAGTTTGTGTGTCCTAGCGCCTCTAAAGGACAAGGAGACAACACGGACATGTGCTGGTTCGCGGCGGAAGGTGCCCTTTCGGACCTGTCAAAGGTTACCTCCCTTTCACAGGTGTCGTCGCTCTGTACCCTACCAAAGACTAATATCAAAAAGAAGAAAAAGTCTCTAATACCAGGTAGGTCACTTAATAGATCACAAGGTGGTCAGGTGGTCAAGGTGGTCAGCTGGTGGTCAGTGTGGACCAAAAAGGTTAGGTGGTTGGCTCAGTCAAGATGGCCAGGGTTTGATTCTCCAATCAGATACCCATGTCTGACAACATGGATTTTCAATGGGTACTGCAGTGTCTGCCCATGTAAAAAACTCTTTACTGCTTCCTTGTGGTCGTACAAGAATGATTCACTTAAGGTCATAACTTGTTAAAGTTGTTAAACGAGGAGACTTCATCCGTATGTTAATGATACATTTCTATTACAAATTTGAAAAAAGAAATCCTGTTTAAAAATTGGATTTTTTTTCTTCAGTAAAAGTATCAGTTACCATTTATCATCATCTGGCTTTGGTTAACAAGTTTCACGGGACATGGAAAGCAAATTAAAGAGATATGTAGTTCAAATATCTTTCATTAGAAAGTTTTGGAGATAGATTGTTAGCTCTATGTTGGGTGCAAGGTTTCAAAACGGCAAGATAAAACGGGTTTGGTGTGAAATTGTGTTGAAAACAGCTATAGCTATTAGGTATTTAAAACTTTTGTAAGTACAGTATCACATTTGTGTGTTTCAGAACATGAAGATGTATGTTGATATTCTATCTTGAGTTCCTTAGTAGGCTAGTGTGAATTTTAGTTTGACTAGTAATAGTGCACTTTTATTGCGGCAGTTAAATTGCGTGTCAAATAAATATTGAAAATTCTAAATTTGACATGGAGTTAAATATAAGAACTTATCACTAGCCTAGAAAAATGTGAATATATTTGGGATACTGTTTTATAAATTTAGCTCGGGAGATTTAAATGTGAGGGTGTATTTTCGGCCTGAGCAGGAAATCTGGGCATCCTGTATGTAGCATGTGTTTGGATGTGCAGGTGTGGGCACTGTCAGGCACTAATTAGACCAGACGTACACTTGGCCCCAAACTTCCCTACAGTGCAGACCAACAATCCCCCCGACATATCTCCCGATTACCTCCGATTTATTCCCCCCAACTAAAGCAGTAGCTCACCTCTGACAAATCCCGAACATATTTTCCAAATTTTCTTCAATATATTCCTAGAAAGAAAAAAAACTAACATATTCTCCGAACTATTTCCAACATAGTTTCAGGAATTATTTGGGAATCTTTAGTGGTATACTTAGGATTCCCAAATAATTCCTGAAACTATATTTTATATACAGATATATTTGCAGATATTTTTCCAACATGTTTTGAACAATCCTCAACATGTTCCTGGTACAACTCTGGACATATCAACCAAGCTTTTGCCGACAGATTTCTCAACAATTCCAACCATCCTCACTATATTTCCCGAACATTTTCCAATACAATTTGGAACAATTTCCAATATGTTCGTCAACTTTCCCCAACATATTCCCCAAACTTTCCCGACATATATTCTACCAACATATTTCCACCCGATCTTTATTTTTATTTATTCACCCCTGAAATTTCATAATGAACTATTCCAACCTTTGAATAGGAACAGTTCAAAAGTGTCTTCAGGGGTGAAGAAGTTAATCCCGAATGCTCTCAAACAATCTCTGCCATATCCACAAAAGTTTCCTGAACAAATTCCAGATAATTATTCAGCGTATCCTGAAGCTAAGTTATAGAGAAAAATATCCAATTTAGAAATCCTACTCTATTGTTTATCTAAGAATGGAGTTATATACATTATAGCTCAGGAATGGTGTTTGCTCCATTTATCATATTATTTGAAACCATTTCTTCTCGTGAAAGAGTTGGTAAATATTCTGTCTTTGAGCCATACAGAAGTGGCCTGTACGTTTTACAAATCAATTTTGGTCCGAGTTCAGAGTTCGGTACACTTGCACCTTTCAATTTTCCTTATGTCAATCACTTAAATCAGTTTAACTTGAATACATTTAGTTCTCAAAATAACAAATCATCCGTTTTTTCAGCTAATGATAAGTTGTTGTTTTTCGAAACAAGTATAAATCATTTCATCGTAGGGTAGGCCATGTCGAGTGTAAGTTCTACAAACACACGGCAGTACCAAGTCAGCCCCACATCTGAATGTATTTTCTTAAAGGGAGGTCGAAGGTCTTTTCACTTACAGATTCAATATGAATTGTGTCAGATCTTTCTGAATGAAATAGATAAAACGGAGACTCAAAGGCAGTGTCACTCCAGTCTGTTAGCCATCTTTGTGCCAGCTCGGTACAGTGTCATTGACATAATGATTTCTGGATAAGAGGGACCTGGCCTCTGGCTTTTTGATGTGGGGGGAACATGTACACTGTTCCTTCCCCCCAATCTCAATAAACCATGGACAGGGGTCAACAACTTCGGGGTAACTTCTTGTACTCCAGGGGCTGTAAATGTCTTGAAACGTTGATGGCAATAAATGACGAAAATTTTGTATTCAGGAGAATAAGTGAAAGTATAAATGTCATGCACTAGTTTAGCGTAGTTATTGGCGTGATAAGTATACTAAATCGTGTTTCCAATATTAACTCATAGGTTGTATATGCATCAGGTTAATTTTGTCTATGCACCTGAAGCTTAGAAAAAGGTTTAACCCTTTCACCACCATAGACCATAATGGATTCATCCCAGTGAATGCATGGTGGAGTCCATTAAAGTTACCTAGGGTTGAAAGGGTCAAGTAAAGAAGGCCAAAAACTATGCCAACCCTTCAGATTATTTGCCCGAATTGTTCTGTCTGGTTAGCATATTCTAAACCAAATCGGCTTCCTGGCCAAATATTTTCTCTTTCAATTGCATTACTTATACTTGTATACAAAATGTCCTTTTATTATAAAAGTATACATTTAGCTGTCCAACAGAGCTTACCATTTAAAGGGAAATAACACAAGTTAGTTTTGATATCGTTACAGTATTTATATTACGCCATTTCTTAGATATAGTGAAAATGGTGTGTAAATATGTAAAACCGTTGTTATGGCAGCTAGAGGTCTAATATTCTTTATGAGAAATCGCAATACATAAGGTACAGATAAATTAAATTAATCTTGATATTTTTATTCATCCCTGTAGAAAATCTTGATTTCCTTTTCTGAGATTGCTATCATGATTTGTGGACATTTACTACAGTTGTAAGTCCTCATCTCTCCTCCAAACAGCAGTTATGTTAATGTCTTGTGTCAAGTATTAGTTAGGGATGTCAAGATGGTAATACTGTTTATAGGACTCCCTCCTACACACCGAACCTCCTCCCCGATATATCTCCTCCAAACCTCCTCTCATATCACACCAAACCTCCTCCCCGATACATCTCCTCCAAACCTCCTCTCACATCACACCGAACCTCCTCCCCGACATATCTCCTCCAAACCTCCTCCCACATCACACGCAGCCAATGAAAGAAATCATTTATTTATGATATGGGTGTGACACGGTAACATTTAGACCATTCCCTTCGCTGATACTGTGAAAGATGTGGATGATAGGTAATTTGGTAACTGATGGTCAGGACAATTCACTTTCTGGGTGTCATTACCGTATTTATCCATCAATAAGCCCACGCCTGGTAATAAGCCCACCCATATATATTGTGGTAGTTCTGTAAAAATGCCAGCAAATGCTGTTTCATTGCCCTATAATAAACCCACATCCCTATTTTGTGTCGGAGATTGTGTGTTAACCTTCTGAACTTATTGGAGGATAAATACATTAGTAATAAGAGACTTGAAGGGTTGTTTTTTGCTGTCATCCGCATAATCCCAAATGGAATGTAGATTTTCCAAAAGAAGATAATTAATACAAATGTACATATTATGCATAAAAATTACTTTATTTGACCAAGAAACCTCCATGTCCCTTCAATAATCATTTTTTTCAATTCAAAGCAAATATATGACAATTATCAAAGTACTCAGGAAAGTCTCTGCCTTAAGTGTTCATGAATCCTAGTAAACTATGAAATATAATTTTTCAGTCAGTTAGTTGGCAATGACAGTTTCTTCGAATTATTTTCGTAATCAATTAAAAATACTACTGCAAATAAGAAATTCTAAAAGGAGATGTATAAAAATATTGAATTATTTTCGTAATCAATTACAAATACTGTTGCAAATAAGAAATTCTAAAAGGAGATATATAAAAATATTGAATTATTTTCGTAATCAATTACAAATACTGTTTCAAATAAGAAATTCTAAACGGGAGATATATAAAAATATACTTTCATGTTTGAATCGCACATCAGTTTCAAGGTCAAAGTTATATATACATTTGCTGATATTGGCCTCAGAACAACAACTGTCAGAGTTGGTTACGGCTGGTGGATGGTAATCAGGGCCGAGGGTTACACATCGAGTTCATCATGAAGCTGAAGTGACCAGTTAACACCAGCGTAAATGTAGGAATATATTTTTAGCGGAAAAACATAAACAGGAAGCAGGGGGTCAGGACAGAAATAGCTCGGTGTGGCGGTAGAGGATTACTGGTCATAAGGGCAGCATCATCGTCTTATATACCTGCTTCCAAAACAGTTTGGAAACAAAACATAATCTTGAGAAAATGTCTTTATCAATGCTGTCATTTTTGCGTTTAAGTCTAATCTAGATGTTTTGCAAATGCATGGACACACTAATTTTTCTTGGGATTTTTTTTTTGAAACATGTGTAAAGCTTGCCTGTTAGTCTAATGTGTGTTCACCAGACTCGTGGGCCATGTGGGGAATTGGCAGGCAGATATTATAGGGTAGTAGTTATGGTGACTGAATCCTGGCTTTGGAGAGCTGAGGCTGCAAATTAACACACACATCTCCACCTGTCGTTTCCATAACAACAGCATCAACGTTATATTCTACCTGTGTAGAAAGCAATAAATAGTGTGTTTTTATTCAGCATGCCAGATCGATCGGAGGTTTAATATTGCGGAAAGTGGGCACAGTTACGAATGATGAACAGCACACTGCGAAATGACATCTCTCTTCTATAGAATGATGACAAGGTCTGTTGTATGTATGATAGAAATGGTATACTGGTATATATATATATATATATATAGAGTCGTTGTGGTAGATATGAGAATAGCGACAAAAGCTCTGATGTAAACAAGTTTCCCGAAGGACGGAATTGCTATGTAGCTCCAGGGAACAGTGCACTAACGCTGCCTCGTCGATTCATTTATGCCGAATTCTTGATCGGTCATTGATTTCTCTCGTCCAAATACATAATTGATAACATTAATGAGATGAAATAAAACAATACTGCATGCGTGGATCGACTGGCAAAAATGCACAATTAATCAGATCTCGCAGCTGTTAGTGGTTGCTGTTTTACAATGTACCACCACCGACCTTCAGTGGTTGATACGGAGGAACTGGCCTACTGTCAAGGTATTTATTTTCGAGGGTCAGGCAGGGCTGTACAATTCTGTTGCAAGAGTACTAGCTCACAGGAGGATTCTGCGAAATTTACAAACAATTTCTATGTTTTGATAGTTACTATTTGGAGGTGAATGTTGAAAATATTCAGAAATTCTACAAACCCTTTCTATATTTTGATAGTTAATATTTTCTTAGTAAATTTTAAAAATACTCACTACCCCTGATGTAAGATGTATTAGCCATGGGTTTCAAGCTTTGCAAAATATTTACATATTTTTTTCTTCAAAATTTGCAAACTTTCATTTTACCTAACTTCACAGTTACAGTTTAATCAAATATCATGTATACATGTAATATTTCTTGTTACATTGAGCTCACGGTTTGTAGCAGACATTTGAAAATTTCAATTTTAGTGTCTAATGTGTTTCAAAGAATGACATGAATGGATCAGTGTTACAAGATAGTGTAGCTGTAGGCTCCAGCTATTTCTAGAGATGTCATTTGAAATTGAAGTACCGGCGCTGTAGGGCAAAATGTAAAATCCCAATTGAGTTTAAGCTGCCTTAGCAGATCTACCTGGGGTAAAAATCGTAACGGAAATTGAAATCTCCTAATGGAATTTAGAAATGCATTTTGCCAGGGTGCCAATACACACAACGAAGTTTTACATGTCAGAGCTGAAACAGGTTGTGGGACATACAAGGCTCTAACTGAAATGAAATCTTATTAAAAAAATACTTTGTGAATTTACATGGGATTCGGTTGTACACACAAAGTGAAGGGAAATTGTATTAAGTTTGGAGTTTATTTTCATAGGAGACTGTCACAGTCTGAAAGCCTGGTCAGGTGTTTGTACAGTGAATTGGTGTGTGTAGTTTTCAGATTAGGAAAGGGTATGAGAGATTAGTTATGTAGCCTGGTAATTGTTACTCTACGTTTTGGGTCTGTAAGGTCCGGAGGTAGCCCGTGTAAGTCCGCTTTCTGTCCAGTTTTGGCGGAAAGAAATGTATCGAGATTTGTCCCGTTGTTGACTATAAATCAAATGTAAATAAATTCCATTTCAATGTGTGTGTTGGTCCACACATAGACATGATGAAAGATTTAAAATACCTGACATCCGTCCCCAGAATTGCATTTGTAAATAGATATGAGATTAGGTTTAAGTGTGGAAGTATTTCACCTGTTTGCTTAAGCCTCGTTAAAGAGTATTACATATTGGCTACAAAGGGATGGGTTTCGCTGATGGACAGACTGTCCTGGCCCAAGATCTGGCTAAATTAGAGAGAGTATTTTGGCTACAAAGAGATGGCCAATCCCTCTATAAATTTTGATATGGTTAATTAACCCTCCGCTCTAGATCTAGATATGTGGTTTTGAAGATGATAATAAAATAAAATTCTATTATGATAATTATACTAATATTTAATAGTAGAATATTGTCAATTTCATTGTACCTTGTATGTACTCTCTTGGGTTTAAGAAAAAAAAAAACATTTGGGAAAGAAATGTTTAGGAGTAAACTGCAAATTTTGGGAGTTACGCGTAAATATGAAATAGTTTTTAATCGGGAATGGGGACCATTATCTGGCCCCAATAAATCTGAGGGACTATGCTTTGTATATAATGCATACAATTTAAGAAATCGTATCTCAATTGTCATACAAAATGTAGATGTTCGTCAGTTTGTTTTAATTTTCACATTTATGACAGATTTCCAATCGCAGAGACAACTCCCATATTCGTGTCTCACCGCATATTACTGTGATTGACCTTAATAAAGTTTAAAAATAAAATTTCAGCAAGCGGAATATATTTGATTTTTCGTAATGTTAGCTTGAACATATTATGAGGTACTTACCTTTAACAAACATATCAGCAATAGTGCTTTTCTTGGTTATTAACTTTTAAATAATTGTGATTTTGTTTTATATCTTGTAGAATGGCTAACTATGGCGAGATCTACAAATCGAGCAAGCTTAAAAGAAAAACTTCAAGAAGAGTTTCTGTCGTGTAAAATTTGCCTGGAGCCTTTCATTAAGCCTAAGGCTCTACCTTGCCTGCACAGCTTTTGTGAGCACTGTTTGAGGGACTATGTTCGCAGGCATCCGGGGGAGAAGCCGGGACACTTCCCCTGCCCCATGTGCCGTAAGGACACGCCCATACCTCTCCGAGGAATTTGTGACTTTCAGGACAACTTCCTGTTGTTGAGTTTGTCGGATACGCTCGACGAAGACAACAATGACGATAACAGTGAACACTGGAACAACATCACTAATTCGCCATCGAGTGGATTTTTAAGTGTTAATCAGAATCACCAGGTGTCGCCACCGAGGACATTAGCGCCACCTACCCCACAGGAAACGTTTCTAAGGGGTTTAGAGTAAGTATTCATTGTCATTGGGTAATCTTGATTATTCATGGTTCTGCATTGTTTCAATTAATGTACTGTATATTGAAGCTGACGTAATCCGTCCCTGCATAATCTCATCAACTTTTATAAACCAGGCGTTCATCAGAAGGAAACATACCTATATGCTTACTTACACATTGTACCTTTGATCTGTAATTAGACTTGTGCATGTTTGAGCCATTTCCTCCCCCTCCCCAGCCATTTCTTGACATGAAACTCTTTTGGAAGGATATACATGTCTGTGTAAGGTAGCATATACCCTTAAGTCCAACATGTACATGTATAAATAGATATTTTTTTTAAATGTAAATTTGACATGTTATGAATACGAAAACCTGTACAATTCTCGACAAAAATAATTCTAGTTTAAATGTTCTTATTTAAGTTTTGTTTAAGCTAGAACATCTCCAGAGCCTATACGGAAACAAAGAGAGTCTTTTTTTAGTCAGTGGCTGTAGCTACCTTAAGTGACCATTTAAAACCATTGACCATATTTGAACTAAAGGGGCATCTTCTGTTGAGTGTTGCATGACTATATCATAAAAGTTATCAGAAATGGTCATAAAACACATTATTCCACTGGATACAGATGCTAGGATAACAGAATCTGTTTAACTAATAATCAGAGGGACTAATAAGGTATTGAAACCACACATCTTTTGTCTCTTTCTTCCCATATCATCACAGGGACTTGTGACCTCCTAAAACCACTCCATGTCTATTTCTGTCTGTCACAGGGGCTAGTAACCTCCTAAACCACTCCATGTCTATTTCTGTCGGTCATAGGGACTAGTAACCTCCTTAACCACTCCATGTCTATTTCTGTCAGTCACATGGGCTAGTATAACCTCCTAAACCACTCCATGTCTATTTCTATCTGTCACATGGGCTAGTAACCTCCTAAACCACTCCATGTCTATTTCTGTCTGTCACAGGGGCTAGTAACCTCCTAAACCACTCCATGTCTATTTCTGTCAGTCACAGGGGCTAGTAACCTCCTTAACCATTCCATGTCTATTTCTGTCTGTACAGGACAGAGTGTTTTCCATTATCCAAGGTATATATATTGATACAGAGAATGCGATCATGGTTAGTTACTCTAGAGTGCTGTTTGGCAGCTGACCAGTGTACAATTGTTTGACATTTACGCCAAACATAGGATGGCCATATCGCTTTATCATTTAGACCACTTGACCTCCTGCTTTAAAATTCATGAGCTTGGCCTCGACACGTTTTGTTGTTCAACATATTTTCTTTTAAAGATCTCCTTATTATATAAAAATCTCTGGCGACGAGCAAAAACAACCGAAGAAGTGTTTGTGAAATTGAGGAGAAAAACTTCAGCTCATTTGCAGTCTTGTGAAAGTACACATCATTGTTTACGTCTAAGAGATAACAAAGTGGGGGGAAAAAAATCACATTTTTGTTGCCCCATAATAATCTTTAGAAACACAATACTTCAAAAAGGATACTACAATTTATTCAATCTTTCCATTCGAACCATGCGCAAAGGATGTTCAAATATTTAATTTTTAAAGGGACCCAACATGCAGTGCTTTTAAATTGAAAAAATAATTATATTCGCCTTGATTATTTGATTTACCCAATATTATTGATACAGAAAGGGATTGGTGAAAACATGTGTGAATTGTGACAAAAAGGTGAAAATCGAACTGGCCAAACACAGGAGTAAGTAGGGTCTGGAAACATCGCTATTAGTGTTGAGTCATTGGTACTGTGTTTACCCTATATATGTGCTGTGCCTGAGAATGGCTCGAGAACCCTTCCAGTAATGCTCCAAAAAACGTGTGAATGTTTCAATTTTCGACCAGTTGTAGTTATATCTGGTTCTTCTAGCGAACCGCTGGTGTCAACGTACGGTCTTATGTGGATTGATTGGTCTAGCATTTGCTCGAAGTTTTTCACTAGAAAAAAATCCATTCCCATACCAACTTATTTATTAAATGAGCTCCAAGACCAAATTTGGTAACACGGCCGTTGAGAGCAACGCCATTCTCTATAATAATAAGTAGGAGGTGGTCGAAATTAACCAGAACAATCTAAGGTGTCGGAGGAGAATTTCAGAACAGAATTGTTAAAAGATGTTATTCACTTTCTTTTTGGTGAGATTTATATTTCATGTTAATTTGTGAGAAAAGAATTGAATTCAAACAATTTTTAACATTTTGGACAAATCTGATCAGCCTTGGGGAAAATTAATTCTGCATTTTATTCAGCTTATTTTGATAAATGGATAAATCTTTTAAATCTTCATAGACCATGGTATATTTGCCTGCATGTATATAATATGATGTATTACTAGTTTCAGTATTAATTGTTCATGTCAATACCAATAAAATGTCCTGAAGAAAATTTTATTCTTAGTTGGATTTGACCTTATTATACTGACAGGTCACCAAAAAACCACTGATGGAAAATAATCTTCCTCTAAAATGAAATGAATTACAGAATGTATACTTTTAAGAAGGCTCTACTGGTGTTGATGCCATCAAAACATCAGTCACATTTTTGTGGGTTTCCTTCCAAAGAAAATGTTTGTTTCAAAACAAGATGTCAAGAAGTGATGTAGCTAAAACCTAACTTATATTACTACCTGGCTACTAAGATTATCTTTGGGGATTAAAAGTCTCCGTTAATTTCTGAGGAAGGCTGATAAGGGCTGGATAGAGCGAGATAAGATGGGTGGGGATACTCTGTCTGGAAGGTACTAAAGCAGGTGGTTGTGTGTGTTTATGGACGGGGAAGTAGAACTTGACAGGCAACACTGCTGGGATATATAGCTCCCCAGGTTTAACAAGGTAGCTAGTTGCCTATCATGATAAAATTCTAAAAAGAGGCAAAAAACATGCAGTAAGACTGTCTTGTTCAGTTAAAAAGTTTTATTCAGTGAAATATTTTCTGATTTGAATATTTCCTTGTTGATGTTGTAAAACTGTACGCGGCGGGGGTAATTACAATACTCAATATTATAATAAAATATAACCCAAATTTAGAAGTTTGTGAAAAAGATTTTTTTTTCTTTTCTTTTCTTGAAAAGTTGATGCTTTTACTGACGCAAAAATCCCTGTCGTAATTTGAACATCGAGCTCTGAGCACTTTTTAATAGAATTAATTTTGATTGAATGATATGTTAAGTTTTCTTGCTTTTTCTACATTTTCAAATTTAAAAAATTTACAACCAACTTAATAGATAAGTGTTAAAAACTGTTGATATTCCTTTATATCACAATCATATTTTATGCGACAGAAATGTTTAAATGTGGACTTGAACTATTTCTTGTTAATTACCGTAAATATATGCAAAACAAACTTTTTGAATTTGTTCTTTTCTTTTGTTTAGTTGTTTTTGATCAAAACATATAAACAGAAAGGTAGGTCTGGAAATCCAACGTACATTTTTTTTTAAATCCTTCACCCCTATGTAACTTTAGTAGACTTTACCATGCATTGATCTGGATGAGTCCATTATGGTCTACAGTGGTGAAAGGGTAAACTTAAGTGGTGATTTAAAAAAAAATGTAGTTCTGTAGTTGTTCAGTCTCAGTTCCATTGTATTTCAATCAACGGCGATTAATTTTAAGTCACATCGAAATAAAAATAAAAAAATGGTGGAGGTTAGGATACAGTACAATGCAACACAGTCAATATTACATGCAGTTTTCTAGCGAATATTCAGACTGGATTGGATGAATAAATACAATCCATAGTTTTCAACCTCAATAAGTAGGAAATGAACTTATACAGATTCCTGTTCACGGCTGATTTCTCCGTGGGTTTGATCCGACGCTGAGGATGTGGTGCTAATTCTAAGGGGAGACTAGTTGATCAGGGTGTCTCCCTGCCGAGTCTTTGATGAATCAAGTCTCGTTAAGTCAGGAGGGATTTGCGACTTACGTTTTCAGAGGCGGGTTCTAGATGTTAAAAGCCTAACACCTCTCAGCTTTAAATAAAATGTATTGGAAAGTAAAATATCTATAAAAACAAATCATTTTTCATTTTGATATTTTATGTTATATTGATCCAATGGGTATTTAGATGTGGGATTTGTTCAGTTTTAAAGGAATATTAATGATGAAATGGTGCTCAGGAGCAATGGAGATTTTCTTGGCCAAGTTAACAAAACACGACATGAAAGGTTGAGTGCAAATACTAGCTACAGTTCAACTACACTGTAATTGGTAGTATAGGTTTTTTGGGGGAGGAGAAATATCTGGTCTGTGTGCACTCAATTACTCAGAGGAGTGTGGTCTACACTACTACACAGACACTTACTACCAGTAAACCTTCCCCTGTGTTGTGTACTCAGGGCAAAACATTTCATTCGAATTCCAGTCATTCCTCTTCTCATTCATCATCTGTCCTTATGAATACAGAGCACATCTAGGGAAAAAACACACCATCCATTGTCCTGCCAGGGAAAAGTTTTAAAAAATGGGACAGTGTAAACAATGCACAAGTGACAACCAGTTTTAGTCCCTGTGATGAGTTGGGGAAGATCACTGGTTTTAGCATCCTTACTAGTCCCTGTGATGATTTGTGCCATGAAAGGCTCAATAAAATGTTTCATAAATCCTATATGAAATTGAGACTCATCCGTGATCTTTTAAAAAAAAAAATGTTTGTCCATCAGCCATTTCAAAGGGCTATAAACCATTCTTGAGGCAGCACTTTAAAGAAAACATTTAAAACCTTAAAACAGTTGTACTCCTTTAAGGACCACTCTACCACTGCCATAAATGCTAACTAAGTATTGGAAACTCTTTTATACGGCAAGACTAGCTTTGGTAAAAAAATTACTGAAAAAGAAACCCTAGGGGCCTTTTATTAGAAATTATAAAGTAGAAATAAACAAAATATAATTAACAATGGTGTTCTGAGTGTAAAAATTCAGCGAGGTCAGACCAGGATTCAAACCCAGGACTTCAGATTGTTATACTTAAGCTCTAACCAATGGAGCTACCTATAAGTGTACAGAAATGTCCTGGCTAAAATATACCCAGTTATAACCAAAACGGAAGTTAAAGGGAGGTTACTGTATACAGGAAAGACATACAGAGCAGTCGGGCAGGGCTTTTTTAAGTTCAAATAAAGTTTTGTTGCCTGGTATAGCATAAGGTAACAGTACTAGTTTGATCCAACATATTTGGGTTAGCTACATGTAGTAGGCTCTTTTAAGTTCAAATAAAGTTTTGTTGCCTGGTATAGCATAAGGTAACAGTACTAGTTTGATCCGACATGTTTGGGTTAGCTACATGTAGTACTATACAAAAATGTACCTTCATTCCTTGTATACTAATGAAACACAATTGGCAAGGAACCGTAACAGTTTGAGAAAATATGTCTGATAAATAAAAACTTAATATAATGCAATTATTTCATGTGTCAACCAACTTAGTGCCACATTTTCCCTGTTTTTATGCCCCGGCCATAAAATGGGGGGCATACAGTGTTGCCCATGTCTGTCCCGTCCCGATTCAATGTAAACACTTAGCTACTTTTCGTCAAACTTTATACGAAGGTCAAGTATGAGTATACGTCGGACATCGTTGTGTTTCAGGGTTCCAAGGTCAAGGCCAAGGTCACGGTTGCTATATAGGGGGCATTCATGTCTCGCAGACATTTTCTAGCTTCTGAACAGTTTATTGAATTGCTTCCCTCAATATACCAGTGCTAAACCTTCTTTTAATGTCATTATTGAGTAGGATAGATGTTGGCAGTATAATGAGGGAAATGTATACCATTATGCAATATAATTCCTTCTCTCTTGCCTTTCAATATATTGCCAAACCCCTTTATAATGTCATCATTTGGTTGGTCAACTGTTGGCAGTATGTACATTTCTGTGAAGCCATTGTACTTCATATTAATTAGCGTGACAAACATACACCAGTGAGAAAACCGATTCTGTGTGTTCCACACATTTCTAATTCTCTAGATATCCTGTGTAACTTTTGAATTCTGTTACAGGTGGTATTTTGGTAAGGTGAGTCGACATGCCTCTGAAGACTGGCTTCTCTCCCCTGGATACCCAAAAGGAACATTCCTTGTCAGACAAGGCGAGGCAGCCCCTGGTGAGTGGTCTCCCCTGTCCTACACCTTGTGTTTAGCTTTTGTACTCCAGTAATATAATTCAAACAGTTATCAAACTTAAGATGTGGATACAACTTAACTCATTAACGCCTGAAGACACATTTGAACGCTTCCAACTCAAAGGTTGGAATAGTTCATTATAAAATTTCAGGGGTGAATGAGTTGAGCACTATTCAAATATATCAAATGTAGGTCGCTGTGATCTGTGTTTACCTCTTCATTAATATTGGTTTAAATGTTTAGCTCAATGTCTTAGGTTAGACCCTGCCTCCTACACACACACATGCAAGCATGCGTACACAGTACACATGGAGGCACGTCCTTTAATAAACTTAGCTGTTGTTAGGACGTTAACTCGTTCACCCCTATGTAACATAGTAGACTCTACCATGCATTGATATGGATGAGTCCATTAACCTACAGTGGTGAAAGGGTTAAACAAAATTTTCCAAACCAAAGTAACGTTAGATTTTGCATTTAGCTCCATTTCTATCTCAGAGTAAGACTGGATATATGTATTAGTGGATATGTATTAGTGGATATATGTATTTGTGGATATATGTATTAGTGGATATATGTATTTTAAACGAGTATTTTCCTGTGATGTTGGCTGACGTATAGGTTTCAATGTCTCCTTACCTTTGTTGTGGTTGGTACTTGCAGTGAGTGCCGTGTTTTAATGTTATTGTTGATTTCGTTTCAGACACCTTTACTCTCTCTGTACGCGACTGTGATGAACTTCGTGGCTATTTAGTCAAACATTATAAAATTTACACCCAGCGGTCTAATGATCTAAGGGGCGAGGATTACTACTTTATTACTCCGAAGAGGATGTTTAGTTCACTTAGTGACCTTGTCAGTCACTACTCTGGTGAGTTGTCTTCTCTATTTTTGAGCTCAAGTCTAGAAAATCCGAATATGACATAAAAAGTGTGTGCACCAGCTGTTCAGTATGAAAAATTAGAATCACACAAATTTTGTATAGGCACAATTAATAAAATTGCATATCGCTATATGTATGTATGAGAAATAGAATCATAAACTCATGATATTGGCATGAGAAACAGAATCCTATACACTTTGTATGGGTAGCAGAAAATATTTTCATTATTTCTTGATATTTTTATTACTTGCAATTAAAGAGTTGTCAGTTCTCTTTCAGTATGAGAAATAGAATAATATACTCTCGATGTAATAACTGATTAGAGGTATTATGCTATAATGTCTCTATGTTAATTGAACGTTGATTTTTTGAATGTTCAATTAAATGTGATCCCTTATAAGCACAATTGGGACAAACGCACATTTCAAATCGATGATTTCACAGTGGTTTGATAAAATACGTCGCCACCAAAAGCTTTGTTTTTCTACTCCGATCGTGAGCTCCTGGAATTGTTTTGGTATTGTTTTTATCAATATTGCACCTGTATAATGATCTACTACGAATGAAAATCTAGTGCAGCTAACTATTCATGGTTGGAACATAAATGAAATCAGTTTTTAACAGCGAAATGAAATTTCTCGTTTTTAAGTTCAATTCCTCCGTGGTAAATAATATGATATGAGGCGTTATGGCTTTCCGCTCGTAATGTTATAAGGTTTTCAGTTATGTTTTGATGTTGATAGTGGAGATTATTGCCGTATTTCATCAGATAACCGCAGCACAACAATGGGTACGCTACAGGTGTTCTTTTGTATCCGAAATCATTTCCTGTTCATAATTGGAGTTTTGAAATCTAATTTAGAATCAGCATGCCATTTAGATTAAAAATGACGGCAACACGATAATTAATTGTATTTTAGATTTTTAGGCTGGGATGATAAAACATGCTAGTTAGTGACTGGGTACTAAACATATTTCAGTCGTACACAAGATTGTTTTGATGAACTCGGGACACATATGGTATTGGCAAATACAATTTTCATAAATTTAACAGATGTTGTCGATTCGACTTTTATGTCTTTGTGCGAATTAAAACTAACATTGCGTACAATCAGGTATGATGTGATGCACTGCAGTGTTTAAATGTATTTATCTTTGCTATTCCACTGAGTTTTACTGTCCTCGGCACATTGATTTTAGAACTAAAGTCTACCTCCACATGTGTTTTTCACCACCGCCAAGAAAACCTTGTAGCTTGCTCTGTAGTAATGATGCTTTAGGTTAAAACGTAAATAAAATATTGGGCCAGAATTTTTAAAACTGGGATAACTCAAATTCTTCTACTATTTTCTAAACAAGTTTTTTCAATTGTACTTTTTGTGTCCTTTCAGGACATTAGAAATCAAAAATCAAAAAAAAACAACAGAAGGACAATAGTTTTCAGGCTATATCGTTTTGGAATTTTCGTAGAATGTAGAACAAAACAGAGAAATTGAACAAAGAATTAAAGCCAATTAAAATCTTACTATTCATATTCAGTAGGAAGTTTGCATGTAATGGCATACAGGGTTGTAGTCAGAAACATGTTTTAGTGCTGGTCTGGCCTTAGACAGGATGTTGTAGACATATCATATATACAAGTGTTCTGAGGTATGACTCGCAGGCCGCTATTTTTACCTGAGTCTTTGGCACCTTCCCAATGTACGTTTCATTCAAGGTGCGGCAGAGATTTGTAAAATTTGTATTTTGTTTGTCTGTTTTCTAGAATCAGCAGATGGGCTATGTTGTAAGCTAGCTCAAACCTGCAACAAACCCAGATCACTCCTGTGGGCCTTCGAAAGGGGCAAGCAAGATGACTACGCTACGGCACGGGAGTCCATTTTACTGATAAAAAAGCTAGGCAGTGGCCAATTTGGTGAAGTGTGGTTAGGTTGGTATTTCTTTACATGAGGTTTTACACAGCAGAACACTTGTGTTAAGTTATGTTTTAATAATGATATTTTTTTAATGTTACAACTATAATTTGTTACCATAACTTCTTATACATGTAAACTACCAGCTACCTCATTCGTCATGTACTATGAAGGAATTGAATCTTACTTATCTCCCTTGAGAGAGCTCTCTTTCCCAACAAACCAACTCCGTAAGTTATCTAATAGTTTATATCCTTAAAAATAAACAGCTTTGTGTGTCCAATACAACCTTGGATAAAGAAAATGATTCAAAATCGGATTGGGTTTAGATTTCATCGTCTTTCCTAAATATCGCCTTCGATGAAACGTTCTGATTTCTCATTCATTTTACTGTTCGTGAAACAGCTTGTTAAAGTAATAACATGTAATCTACAATTGTTATGATTTATTACAGGAACATGGCACAGTAGTCGACAGGTGGCAATAAAAATGCAGAAAAAGGATTCAGTTTCCACAGCGGCCTTTCTGGACGAGGGGCAGATCCTGAAAACGCTGGAGCACCCAAATATCATCAAACTCCTTGGAATCTCGAACGAGATTGAGCCTATATACCTTATCACAGAATATATGTTGAACGGTCGCCTGTCAATGCACCTACGAGAAGGGCAAGGTCGCAACCTTGGAGTCACGCAGCTTCTGTGGATAGCAACACAGGTAAGTTAACGAGATCTCTCCTTCAGTAGGGCAAGGTCGCAACCTTGGGGTCATGCAGCTTCTGTGGATAGCCACACAGGTAAATCTACGAGATCTCTCCTTCAATAGGGCAAGGTCGCAACTTTGGGGTCACACAGCTTCTGTGGATAGCCACGCAGGTAAGTTAACGAGATCTCTTCTTCAGTAGGGTAAGGTCGTCACCTTGGGGTCACACAGCTTCTGTGGATAGCCACGCAGGTAAGTTAACGAGATCTCTTCTTCAGTAGGGTAAGGTCGTCACCTTGGGGTCACACAGCTTCTGTGGATAGCCACGCAGGTAAGTTAACGAGATCTCTTCTTCAGTAGGGTAAGGTCGTCACCTTGGGGTCACACAGCTTCTGTGGATAGCCACGCAGGTAAGTTAACGAGATCTCTTCTTCAGTAGGGTAAGGTCGTCACCTTGGGGTCACACAGCTTCTGTTGATAGCCACACAGGTAAGTTAACGAGATCTGCCCTTTAGTAGGACTGTATTTATCTAGGGCAGGGTAAGGGTCAAGGACATGGGTCACAAAGCAAGTGTTGATAATGGCTTGTGTTGGATCAAGGGTCAAGTTCTCAGCTAGAGGTCACGACATAATTATGCTGATTGCATATCAGAAAAGATAGTTACTGATGAATGGAAGCAGAAAAAGAAGAGGAATAGTTCCTTTCCGTAATTTTGAATATCCTACGTTATTGGACGTGGATGTTTTAGTTGGGATTTTTTTTCTCGTTTGAATTTTTTTTTATGAAATCATCTTGGAATTTTGGCACAAAAAATATTCCAGAGGAAGAAAACCATCTGTCGAAAATAGAAATTGTGTTCAAGGGGAATAAGCGAGGAACATTCTCATTAAATCATGATGAAACTATCAAAAGCCATGCAGTGTGTAAATCAAAAATACATTTGAAAATGTTGTAAGAAGCAGGTGAAGGATATCGCTAAATTGGAATGGTTACAAGTAACCGTAGTTTAATTGAATAAATTGGAAAGGTATTAGAGACTGCACACGTGGAGATTTCGTATGTAAGGCTGCCTGTGTGGCCACGAGGCCCGTAAACACTAGCGACCTCGGTGATGAGGAGAGCGTAGATTACGCGTGTAGAAACCATGGTGCACTGCAAATTCAGAGAGATCGCTTAATTGATGCTACTCTATGGTTTATTTTAGTGCAGTTGATGAAATTTTCCTCCTAACTGCGGCAATTTTCGTTTCGTTCTGACACGTTAATTTGGTCTGTTGCCTTGCGATGGCAGACTTCCTGAAATAGATCATATCAATACTTCAGTTTGATTGTCCAGAATGATGAGATTTATGGTATAGGTGTTTTAACCAAACTGTTTTGTTTAAGCTGCACCCGTCAGTACACAGTGATTAACAGATCCAAAGAGATTTAGTATTAACGGAAGTATCATTAATTAGCTTGGGTACCTGGGTGATCATTCTGTGTATCTGGAGATTTATCTGACAATTTTTCATATAAATTTTCAACACCTTTCGTCGTTTGGCCATAAATCCATTTTGAATGGTGGATTTAATCAGTGCGGCGACGGAAGGATAAAATTTCATCTTTTCAGAGAGATTTTTTTTAATGGCACTTAATTAATGTTACGAGAGATGAATTCAGAAATAAAGACTTTCAAGAGGAAAGATTTGAATGATATAGTTACAGAACATTAATTTTATCAACTTAAATCACAAAGAGGCAATTTTTAACAAAAAAGGATATTCCTTTCTTACTTTTTACATGAGTATTGTTGTTAAAGTAATGTTATTTTAATAGCAAAGTGATATTGTAAATTCACATGTCCAACATTTCGAATCAAATAATACAAATAAAGAGACCTAATATCTAAATTCACACTTTTGAGAAAATGAAAATATACTGAATTCAGTAGCTGATCATCGAAAACAGAGAAATTTTCAAACTTGATAATGCTTTCAAATAAAATTTCTTTTTTATATCTGTTACCCCCCTCATTTTGAAGACTTGAAAACCACAATAGCAATGTATGTTAATAGTTGAAGAAGGAGGAATTTCAGAAAATTTAGGAGGCAATTAGATTTTTACTGAGGTTCCAAGACTTCCCATGTATCAAGCTGATGACAGAACAGCTGCCATACACAAACGGTAAAGTACCTGGTGACAAGTCGCCAAGGTGCTGGCTCTTACTGGTGTCATCTAAACAGTGATCAGCTGCTGTTAATGAAAGCTTGATATCTAGCGTGTTTAGGTGGATCAAGATGAATCCATCAGTTTTATAAATAGTTTTAAGAATAAGCAGCTGGAAATTTCATCAGGAAATGAAATAGATTAACGTATATTTCGGTGTATAATTGCTTTGGATACAAGATTTATGCTAGATGCGAATCATTTGTGTCATTTGGTGTTAAATCTGGTACATGAACAAGTGTCCGCAATAAACACCAGTAATCTTAAAAATTCGCCGATTACTGTTGGGTTCATCAGGTGAAAAGTCATTAGTGTGCACACCATCCATGTTGTGAGAGCACCTGCCCTCTGTTGAGCAGAGGACTCCAGATTTGTCAGCTTAACGCTATATATGGAACTTACTTGCAATACTGATTCTGTCAAGTAAAAAAAATTACTTCTTAGGTTTCGATGTTTTACAGTCTTTACAGTCATTTTGAATTTAAACAATTCAATTTGGAAGTTTTGTTACCCTTGTGAAATCAGTACATATTCAGCATCAATTTTTGTTATGAAATTTGAAAGCTAACAATGCTGTGATAAGAGTAGGATGCAGTTGATGTGCTGTGCCATGTATTGATACCACAAATTGTGCACTGGTATTTGGCATGATAACGAATATCTTGATAAATGTGAGACTTTGATTGAGTAATTAGAACAGATGACTGCCGTGCATGTCTTAATGAGGTCGGGAGGACAAAGTAGGGATGAGATGGGGAGGTAGAGGAGGGGGACCTGGTCCGGGAGGGTGTCGATCAGCTGTTCAGAGTATTTGAAATTGATTGGAACAAAATAGTCGTGCAAGGATAATCAAGACTTAAGAATTTGGCTACAAATTTTGAAACCCTGTTACTTTCGTCGTGTGACTTTCACCCCTCCACCCCTAGAGTCACATTTGAACCTTACCAAATCAAAGTCTGGGTAAGTCCAGTTTAAAATTGTAGGGGTAAATGAGTTAACAGTTGTGAAAAATCTTAAGTGTGAGATCCAAAACAACTTATTAGACATTCAAACTTTGCTTTAGAATTTGAAGGGGGGGGGGGGGGGGGGTTTTTTTTT